AAATAAATAAATAAAATAAATAAATAAATAAATAAATAAATAAATAATTAAATAAATAAATTCTCAAGTTTCTTTTTCTCCAAAATAGTTGTGGGAGCGTTTTTTAAATGTCATAAAACATGCACTTTAATTTTTATTTTATCATACAAATGAATTTTTGTAAAAACAAAACTGACTCACACAATGAATGTATTAAGTATGATTTTTTTCAAAAATGTTAAGATTTAATTTTGAATATAATCATTCCTGTGATAAACCATTAGAGCTACAGAACATATACATTAACCCCTTGAATGACATTGTCACCATCTACAAAATAATTTTCTGCAGTCTATTCTTTCCCACATAAAGTGTTGATAAAAATTAACAAACATTTAATCAAAACTAAAAGGAATAATTGAAATCCATTATCTGCATCAGTTTATTTCTAGAAATGTGATCATCTCACAATCTATGTGACTTAAATCACAGTCAGTTATTTCATAAATCTTTAATAATAATAATAACAAGTCATTGAAAATGACACAGTCCTCATTAAATTAAGTTCTCTTTGTGCTCGTCATATTAAAGCGGAGGGGTTGTAGCGAGCGTGTCCTTGAAACTTGAGTTCCAAGTGACATATACAGCAGATTGTTTATTTACATCAAAACACGTGTTCCGTGTAGTAGTAATAGGCCAAAAATAAAAACAGCCGTTAATCGGCCATCTTTGATCTGATTATGAAACACATTGATATGTATGATGTATGTGCCAAATACGAATGAAAATGGTACATAAATTGTGGAAATATAGTTGTAGGGCTAAAAGTCAGATGGCTGTCAATCGGCCATCCTTGACCAGATTTTGAAACAAATTGTCATGGACATGCATCCTAACATGTATAAAGTACATGTATGTGCCAAATTTGAATGAAAACTGACAGAGCACGTCCAAGATACCGCATAAAAAAACAAAACAAGATGCCTGCCAGTCGACCATCTTTGATCCAATTGCGAAATAAATCGTCATGGACATGTATCCTAACATGTATAATCTATGTACCAAGTTTGAATGACAACTGACAAAGCATGTCCAAAATGCAACATTTTCAACAACAAAAAAGATGGCTGCCAGTTGGCCATTTTGAATCGAATTGCTAAACCACTGCATGTGCATATGTCCCACATAAGGTACTAGGCACATGCAAAGAATGAACGGAAACGGTCCACAGGATTCTGAAATATGACTCTGGACAGACTGACGGACGGACAGACACACGGACAGACGGACGGATAGACTCAGGAACTCACGAACGGTCGGGGACATATATCCTAACATGTATGATCTATGTACTAAATTTGAGTGAAAACTGACAAAGCATGTCCAAAATATGACATTTTCAAAAAACAAGATGGCTCCCAGTCGGCCATCTTTGATGCAATTGTGAAATAAATTGTCATGGACATGTATCCTATCATGCATAATCTATGTACCAAGTTTGAATGAAAACTGACAAAGCATGTCCAAAATAAAACATTTTCAAAAAACAAAATGGCTGCCAGTCGGCCATTTTGAATCGAATCGCTAAACCACTGCATGTGCATATGTCCCACATAAAGTACTAGGCACATGCAAAGAATGAACGGAATCTGTCGAAGGGATTCTGAGATATTACTCCGGACGAACACACTTACGCACGGACGCACAGACGCACAGATGCACAGACGCACGGACGGAGACCGAATTATAAGTCCTCGTTTTCAGACTTCACGACTCACCTTTTCTCATAAATGGACTAATAGTGTTATCTACATCAGGAGCGTTTTCACGATTCACAGCTGGATTTTTCTTCATATTCTCAAAAGAGCAATAACTTGCAATGTTATTAACAGTCTCTCTGCTCAAGTCCTTCCCAAGGAATGATGCAATTTTCATAACAGCACCTATTTCATCCTGTAAATGCAGAAAAAAAATGAAAGTTTAGCCTTTTCACCACCAGACTATCTTGCTTAAATTTTTCTGCACTTTTTTCTTATATTATTCAATATTTCAGGAAATGAACTCTAATTTTGGAGCCAATAGACAAAATTTTAGTAAATTTTTAGTTTTTAATCAAAAAATTTGGTAATTTGTCCCAATTTTTTCTAGGAAATTACACACTACCAGTGTAGGAAATTCCCGCCCGTCCGCACGACCAAGTTCAAGGAATGGCTGGTCACCAAGGACACCAGCAATCATACGGTGTAGTGCCGTATCTGCCGGGCTATTTACGGGCCATTATCAAACCGCAAAATACCAGAGAAATACGGAAAGGGATCGTTTGTAACCGAATGTACCAACTTAAGACATAATGCCCTAACATGCCATGAGAGCAACAGTGACATAGACGTCTGAGATACACCATGTTCTGAATATGCATGTTCTCTACAGCTACTTTGTTGTTAAAATAAACCGTGCATAGTATCTGGTATGTACAACTTGTGTTTATTTGTGTGTGTGTGCACGAAAATAATTGAAAAAATTTGCAGGACTGGTAACATTTTAGCAGGGCTTGTAACTTTTAAAAGTTACCAGCCCTGATGTCTGGTATGTAATCTGGACAAGTTTGTGATGTGAATTTGTGATGAATAGAGAATCTGGTGGTGAAAAAGTTAAAAAGAAATGCTGAAAATTTTTCTATTTACTTATGCCTCTAAAATGAACTCATTTCTTAGATTTAATTGGTTGTCTTTGGGCTAATATAGAACGCAGAATTCCAAATCAACAAAATGGTTATGAAGTACGGCAACCGAGGTGGCTCACAACATGGCATTTTATAAAACCATTTTTACTATTCATTTTAATTTTATAATTCCTTTTTAAACACCATTTTCGGTTCTGAAATCGATTTTTAAAACCCACTTTCATTTCTGATATCTGTTTTCATTTTAAAAAACAATTGTTT